ATGGCTACGACAGGATTAGCTGCGTGAATAGGGGCCCATGGAAGAATATTGTCTGGCTGTAAACATGTCGAATGGCCTTGCAATATTCTACATAGCCCCCCGCAGACATGAAAATCTTTGCGAATGGCATAAGGGTTCCGACTTATTACCTTTATAATCCCCTGTGAGCGTTAATTTCATAATGCACTGCTAGTTTCAGGACAGCACTAGCCGTCTATTTCTCATTTTGAGCGTTGTGAGCGAACTTGTGCTAGACAAAGTCGGTAATTGACCCGACAAGGATGTCCGGCCCTGAACCAGATCACTGCGGGTCGGTGTGTGGGTGGAGGAGGATTGGCGTGGGATACAGCGGCTAGGGCACACGCCTCTCGCACCCGTGGTAGCTGAGCTCGACACTCCTCCACCGGGCCGTGACATTTGCGCCGCCAATATAGCTCGAATGCAATACTCGCAGTTTATTAACCAGGCTGAGTGTGGCGGTGACGTATGCCGCTCACCGGACGTGGCAACCGGTCCATTCCGGCTACAGAGGCGATAGGGGGAGTCCTGCAGTGACCACTGACGTAGGTGAAAGAAGTGGTCACATGCGGCGCGTCCCTAGAAGAGTTATTTCGGGAAACGGGTACAGTAATTGGGTGAAATTATCTGCCCAAAAGACGGCGTGTAGCGGTGGTTAGTGTCATGTTTCGTCATTAAATGTATGCCTAAGAGAAACGAAAGAACCGTTGGGGATATTTAGTTCGCCAGAACTTCCGGTACTTATATTCATTCATTTTTTAAAAATTATTACCATTAACCCCATGGTGGACTGCGTGTCACTTGGTATTTTTGGCTTAACAGTTTTAAAAGGAAGTGTACGACTTAAGTTTTAATTTCATGAGAATACACAAGAACACGTCCATCGAAAAACTTGCTAGGAATGAATATCACTAAACACATCGTGAGACCCATACGTTTTGATCAAGAAGCCACTGATATTCACCCTACATCAGAAAAGGTAAGAGCTCTACCACATCTGCAGACGATGTGACCCACCCTGTTACAACCCAGCTGTCTCTGGACCGTCCCTTGACGCTCCCCTGGGCGCGCACCACGGCAGCACGTGATACCGCCGCCGCATCTCTGATATTGCAGCCGTCTGGAAGGCCCCGCGGCACTGTCGCCACCGTCACCAGCGACCTTATGAATAATTCACCAACGCAGACACATTAATTATGACCCGACTAACTAGATATGAACTGGGTCACGGCTCGAATTACGGGGTTAACCGAGGACGACGGCCGGCAACAAACAACACCAAATGCTGCAATGCACTGCGCGCATTATGGTTGTTTTGCATTAGCACACAATTTCAAGACAGACAAGGTGTGTGGTTCAGATACAAAAATACATTATTTATGTCAGGTAAGTACGTCACTCGGTGACCCTCGGCGGCGAACGGCGACACTTCCGCGCGAGTGGTCAGTACTGGAGAAGATCAGCGTGTTAGCGCAAACGACCGAGCGGGAGCCAGGTGGCCCGACTCCCGGCATATTGGCGACGTCGGCCGCGGCACCGCTGCCGTCACCAGTGCGCCATATTCGCCGGCCGGCCGGCAATTGGCCGCCGCCGGGGCGCGCCGCATTTCGCCGCCGGGGCGTCATATTTCGCCGCCGAGTGGCAGGGCCATGGGCGGCGCGCAGCAGTCGTTACCGAGGCGGTGGCGCTCGGCGCGGCTCCGCCATTCGCCAATCTGCGGCCACGCGGAGAGGAGGAGCGTCGCCCACGGCGAACTGGTGCCGATTCGGCAACCCCTCCTCCCCCATACCCCCGCCCCCGTCCTGTCGGTACCGACGGTGGGTCGAGCGACCGAGGGCGGAACCCCGGGGCCACGCCAACACCACCACATGCGGCACGGCTGATGGCCCGAATCATGCCACGGTTCATTTATCGCATGATGATACCGGAAGGAAAATAACGAAGACATTTCGAAGTGCAGGCGAAACGGAGTGACTTGAAAGGAAGTCATCTTTTCGACTTCAAAGCCCACAATGAGTTCACCAATTTTTGTGCCGAGTTATCTTATTTGTTTACCGCTGTTGTTTTCCACTTTGTTTTCACATCGTTTTCCCAAGAGTCGATGTTTTCAGAAAAAGAAACACAATACTGAAATAATTCGGCATACCTGCACTGCATTTTAACTATTGTCTTTCACAGCCATCACTTGCGAAACGAAATATGAAGGGCACCTGACGCTGGGTTCAAGGTGAATAGCAAAATTTGTTATGACTGACTGAAAAGCTTTCCGGGAAGCCCTGTCGAAATTGAAAACGTGAACAAAACGAGTGAACTGCTGTCACAGCTTGCGTCATTTGATTAAAGCAAACATCAGAGATTGCATAAGTGAAACAGAATGGGGCTTTGATTAGTATTTCGGCTGTCATTTGAGCCCTGCTTAGATCAGTACTTCGCTGTCAGCAAGGCTCGGCGCACCACAAGTCAAAAATATAATAAATTGTTGAAAGCAAGAAGATTTAACGCCCGAAAAGAGCGTTCTGCGACGCCACCACTGCGGGTTGCCGGTCAGCATTCCAATAAATGACGCCTGAAACAGCCTCCACAGTCGCACAAACGACACATGAATGGGCCTCATCGTTCCGAGAGCCGACTGAATGCCTGCAATTGCGCCAGTGGGGGCGTGCTCAGCCGGCGTGGCGGCCGCGGAGTCAAACCCAGCACCCCGGGCCGGCCCGCCGCGGCAGCACGCGCTGACACAGAGTCAGTCGTCGCTGAAAACGACTGCTGTCGTCGGCAACATGCATTTCAGAAAAGGACGGCCGTAAAGGCTGCAGGGGAGTGGGTGATTTCGGACCGATTTACAGGCGGGGCTGCCGTAACCGTGTGACTTTGACATGTGTGACCAATTTCCGAGAATGAGTTTGATGTTGCATACGTTATCGAATGGTTTTAGGTTTGTGCAATTCTTAAAATCATTTAAATTACAGTAGGTAATGCACTTTACGGCATGATTGCATTGTAGAAGGTATGCATATTGCATAATTGCAACGGACATTGAAAGTTGGCATTGCTCTTTTATAACTGAAAAAAAGAAACGGCCACGTAACTATATGAGGCAATCTGGCAATATATACAGACAGCCGAGTAAACAGAATCATAGAATCGTGAACTATATAAACTCAATCTTCCTTAATCCTTATGTTCATTCTGAGGACTGTGTAGCAACCGTTAGAAGTGTTTTTTTTTTTCAAAATTGAGTTTTCGACACAAGTCACCAAGCCTTCGACTCCGTTCTATCAACAACTCCGAATTTCCCTATTGCCAAGCCAGGACAGATGGAAAGCTGATTTGATATATATTGCAACAATGCATCAAACGTTGCTAAGCGATTGAAGCTCGAAACGAATATTTGATCTGATTATCGGATAAATACTAATTCTGCGAGAAAGCGTCCATAATGAGTTTTTAGTTTCCAAAGGGATTTATTGTGATGAGCCAGCCTTATACTTTACTCCAATTAGAAATATAGTTATACTCGTAAACTATACAGTATATAAATCCACACCATAATCAGATCTTGTTCAAGCACCAAAGTCCCGGTCCTCACTGACATTCGCCAAGAGCTGGAGACGTTTTGTATCCCCGCAACTCAGTCCCGATACCTGTCCCTTTATATCGGTAACTAACTAGTAAGGTTGAAAAATGAAACGTAAATAAGCATTTAATTAGGGTGTGAATGCGTCATCAATCAAATTCATCATTTCTTGAATTCGATTCCAATAAGCTTTTCGTCGGTGGCAATCTAATTCGTATATTTGGAAATGCACAGACGATTGAGAATGCCAGTACCGCAAGCAAATATGGCTGGGCCTCCAGGGAATTTACAGTAGACATGCACATTTCCGGTAACCTAGCAAAGCCTGTCGATGAATGATCTAGTTAGCTAACAAGATTGCCAGTCGGAAATTAGGCCGCAGTCAATAGGTACCTAACGGCATTAGACTACGCATAACTACATCGGATATCTGGTAGGTAAGAATTAGCATTGTGAGAGAATCGCATGCGCGGTTTTACTGATACAGAGTACAGTGTAGTTGATGTTACGAGGTAGAGCTGGTTAGACCATGTGTTAATGAGCCTGCATGTTTTCCTGATCGCCATTCTTCTATAGAGCACGAAAACATGCTCCTGGGTTCCAAAGTGACAAGACACTGCTATTTTTTCTTCGCTCCTTTGAACGGAGGATTCCGGTTGGTAGAAAAAAAAAATCAGAGCTACGCAGTAAAACACCATAGCTCTTTTCACTTAGGGCAAAAACTAATGGACGGACGTGTCAAACAATTGCACCCAGCGAAATGCGGATGAAGCTGGTAAAATAAACGCGTCACACAGTTATGGAAACCTGCCATTACAGCTATCACCCATCACAGAACGCATACCACCATGACTATTGTATGAGAATCTCCTCCGTATCAAGTGTCCCAGGAAATGGGCAGATTGATCCGGTTCTGAGCGGCCATTGCGTCCATATTGGAGACAGATCGGCTCATCTAATGTCGCCCAGAGTATCGTTTGTAGCCAATTCGGGAGCGTCGCGAAGAAAGTAACTCTGAGAATTGCCGTCGGAGCTTGTCGCCGCAGTTCCTGGCGGAGCTGGGAGTGTAATACAAGACCGACATGAGCGGCCTTCAAGAATAGTCCTCCCTGAATACTTTGCCCTTATATAGAAACGGTAGAAGACAGACGCAGGATGAAACTGGTGAATAAGCAAGTGAATTTATATTGCGTTTAACAGGTGTACTGTTTACGCATAACTTAACCCGTGCAGATACTGATTTGAACGACGTTTCTGCATATTTCGTTCAACTAGCTCCCAAAAATACAATAAGAAGGAAATGTACTGGATAGAAAAACATCGACATAAGCAAGCACAGAGTCACGGGAGCCCGCGCATGAGTGAGTGCTCTGAAAGGTATAAGAGTATCAGAGTAGTCGGTACTCACCTAAGAACTCGGTGTCGGTGATTTTGTCCGGTCCGAGCCGCTTCCATTTACCCTCCTCGGGTTTGTACCGCAGTGAGTAGTAGTGTACCGGTACGTCGGGCACCTCCACCGGCGCCGCCCAGGTCAGCAGGTTGCCGTGAGACAGACCCTCCATCTTCAGGTCCCGCGTCGGGTTCGGCTTCGGCCCTGCCCGTGACGTCATACGTGAGTCATGACGTCACCCGGTGTTGGTAATGACGTCACGGGGCGGATTGCGTGCGCCGTCCAATTCCGGTAGCGCGTTTCGTGTGGTGTGGCTCGCAATTAACCCGCCAGACCGCCACAGCCGGCCAGTTAATAGTGCGGGCAACTAAGCGGCTCTAAGACCGGACTGCAGCACTATTGTCGACCCAAAGCCCCTTAATCCATTAATCAAACAGACTGCAATCAACCCTACCAGACAGAGCAGCTCGGATTCTTAGGCTGCCCGGTCACTAGCGAGGCGTCCATAGCAGCAGCAGCAGTGACTGGAGCGGCACGCAACAGGGCCAGGTCACCGAAAAATGACATGACTGACGTGTCCTACTACGGTGGAGTTCCAGCAACACGGGATTAAACATAGCGATACAAAAGCAAACACGGGACCGAATATCGCGCTGGGGACTGTAGGCATAGCACGGGGGCGGCCTTCGGGGAGGCATGCTGTTACCTTTCGAAACAAAAACGGCGGGGAAGAAGCCGTCGGCGGCGGCGTCAGTCGGCAAAACGCCTGTCGATCAAATAAGCAAACATCTCAACATCAAATAAACTGCGGCGCGGCCCGATAAACGTGCACGTCACCGGCGGCTGCCGATGGCCACTAACACACACCGCGGCTGCATACAGTTGCACGCACGTGCTGACAGACACAGGCAGGTAGCGGGCGGACGGAGCCGCCCCCAGAGAGGCGCGGTTCTGGGCAGGGTAGGTTGGTGAAGGGTGAAGAGTGAAGGGTGAAGGGCCATGCGCCGGTGGCCGGTGTGTAGTGTTTCATGTAGTTGGTGCGTTGTTTATTTCAAGATTGTGCTCTGATGTTGTGAGCGAGAGAAAAAAGAATAAAAGTTAGGAAGAGAGAGAGAGAGAGAGAGAGAGAGAGAGAGAGAGAGAGAGAGAGAGAGAGAGAGAGAGAGAGAGAGAGAGAGAGAGAGAGAGAGAGAGAGAGAGAGAGAGAGAGAGAGAGAGAGAGAGAGAGAGAGAGAGAGAGAGAGAGAGAGAGAGAGAGAGAGAGAGAAACACAGACAGAGAGACAGAGAGGATGAAGTGAGCGAAGAGGATGGAGAGAAGTAGGATCAGCAGAGGTCGAAGCCGACTCTCAGGATAGTCGGTCAGTCGGGTGCCACCGGGGAGACGTTCGCTGGCGCCGGATGTATTACACGCGGGACCGCGGTCCCCATTGATGTATCGCCCGGGGGACCGCTGGCCGACTCCCGATCATTGATTGATGCAGGGGAATGCTGATTTGTGCGGGCACAGAGAGACTATTTGGTCCTGTCAGCGAGAGAGACAATGGTAGTGTGCCGACAAATGGTGTGATTTGTTATATGGGTATTGCAAACTTGTGAGGATCTTACATCGGGCCAACAAGGACAAAAATACAGAAGCTTATCACAAAACTATTAGTAACGTAAATGCTAGCGTTTATTGCATGGTAGAAATACTATTTTCTTTTTTCGTCAACCGTGTGAAAAGTGACCGAGGAAATAAGACGGCCATTCCCCGCTTCCCTACGATCAGGAATGTGTCTCCTCTCAATAAGGTTCCACATGTTTTCCGATGGCGGGCCGAAATATGGGAATTGCCAGCCGAATCTCCATTGTATCCCTAATATAACGGCCAGTTGACGCCACCATTCATCCCAGCACAGATCTTGACATACGACCAGAGCGACATTCAAGTCATAGAGCATGGCTATAGAATAGCTCCAGCGCCTAATGGCGGCCTCTTCGGGCCACCAACATGGCAAATATTTTACATTTATGATGTAAGTTCATCGGCATCCGCCGCCAGCTCAGATGAAGACGAACTTCCTGAGCTATTTATGGGGACAGTCGTAGGGGTTTATGGGCGCCAAAGTTTGGCTTCGAGGGGAGTCAGCCAGCCTGAGTTTCTGATCAGGCGGAATTCTCATAAAGCATAGCGCGTGGTTTAATATTGGCGAACGCGTTCCAATTTCTCCAAACTGGTCAGCCATGAAGGCAGCAATACGTCAAAAACTTCGGTAATGACATCCAGCTCAGAGCTGTCATAGATCTTCTGATTATATGAGTAAGACGATGGACGGGGATTACATTTTCATAAGTTCTTTTCTTTTGTGGACCACATCATCTCAGAACAAATTTTCTCTCATTTGTAATCATCCGATTTGATAACTTTACCTATCATAGCGCATCGCCGTATTTGTATAATTACTACAATAGTTATGATTTGACGGACCATGCCCAAAAAAATTATACCAGAGTGTTTACGGTGTCGGTACCTTATGAAACAGACAACTTCGTGGGTTTGCTTAAACTTGCCGCTGAAAGTACTCTTTTTACGCGCAAACATCACATTTATTGCAAAAACATATTTATTATCTACTTCATTTAACCAGCAGCGCCGCGCTCTCATCTCTGCAATAACAGCCCCACGCCACCACTTCAACTTGACTACGGGTACAACAACACTTCCTCAAATAGCCTGAGGGTTACAGCGGACACAGACCAGCAAAGGTCACCCGGACCCGGGCACTCCGTCCTTCTGCCATGACTGGAAGGGCTCTCTAAAATTTGCCGAGCCAGTCTCGGGCGCGACTGCTCGCAGCTCCAGCTTCGCTCCGTGCCACGCCACTCGGCCTGGGCGGCACGCGGGAGCCCGATTTGGGCCGAGCCCCTGCCTCCAGGCCCCTCCGGGCGCCGCCACTCCAGCGCCCGCCGCCCGACACCGGAGCTGCGGCGCGCGGCGCGACATTTTGGCGGGAAAATGAGCGCCCTCCCAGTGGCCGCGACTCGGATTCCGCGCCGTGGCCTGAGATCGATGGCAGGTCTGGAGGCCAGGCACTGGCGCGGCGGCGGCGGCGGCGACGGGCGGTGTGGTGGCGCCCGGTGGGTGGTGGGTGGCGGTGGTGGTGGTGGTGGGTGGTTGTGGGCTGGGCCGGTCGGTGGGGCAGTGGGTATTGGATGTGGGCTGAGCCTGTGACGGTGTCTGTGGGCGGGTGTGGGTTGGACCGGTAGTGGTGGTGGAAAGCGGGCGGCGGAGACTAGTTCGAATAAATAAATATGAACTTAAGAATCGGCAAACTATGATGAAGACAAGTGAAATAAAATGGCAAATTTAAATTATTTGGATCCATTTTCTTGAAGTTAAAACGTAGCTGTGAACTTAGAACAAAAAACGAGCATGTCAATATAACAGATGAATGCCTAAAAACATAGCAACACAACTATCTGCAGACAGAGCGATGGACGCGTCTCTCAGTACAGCGATTGAGAACCGGGCGCCACCCGCGCTCGTGTATTCCCATAAAGACATACTCGATTCGGAGACGGTGGGCGTCGGGCGGTCCAACTTGGGAGAATGATCGCTTCGGCGGCGGATATGGTAGCCCGGGAAGACATGCGACAAAATATGGCAGCCGATGCGACAAAATATGGCAGCCGATCGGGTCCGGTTGGGTACGGCCGTAAAATTGCCAGGGTGAAATAGGATGGAAGCAATCGCTATGAAATGGGACACGATAGCCGCCGCGTTTGTACTGTCTCAATTTGTAGCGGCGGCCGTTCGACCCGAGGCAGACCAGTGTCCTCGTCTGGGATGTTTGTAGAGGCGTGCCAACGACGGATGTATCTTATTGCGAAAAGGTCAGATACTTCTTACTAGCTAATTTCCTCTCGCACATGAGCGATCGTTCGTTTATGCATCCTCGTCTCCGACAGTATTACATTCCTCTGTCGCATATATTTCCTTTTCGTGCCAACCAGAGCAGAAATATGTCATTCCGAAGGAGCAGCTACGCTGCCAGACAAAAAATCCCTCAGGTCGCTCTCGGATTGCCTGGCCGTGGGACTGCCCCTAGGTATGACGTCACCCCTGTCCCCGAGGCACGTTCCGGCGGTTCAGCGGCCCTCGAGGGGCGGTCAGTGGACGGCCATTAGCGCCACCGCCCACGGAGGTGGGAGCCCGTGACCCGCCTGCCGAGCCGGCCACTAAAGCGGCCCGACCGACACGTAATCCCCGAATGGCCAGCAATCATTTCATCCGGCGATGGCCCGCCGGCGATCGACATTTTACGGGGCGCGTCTGTGGTGGAGGGCTGGGAAATGAAGGCGGCTCGTGGCGGAGTGGGTGGGTAATGAGAGAAACAGCACCGAAAATACACAAATAACCACAGGATTCACTGCGCAAACAATAGGGCTGACTACAAAACACACAAAATGGAAATCACATTGTGCACATCAAAACATACAGCTCCCAACAAATCCATGCCAAAACAATGCAAGCACAACACAAAACAAATATGTGCAAAACACAGCAAAATCGCAAAGCACAAGCTCTTGAACAATAACGTACCATCTTTTGCACTACAACATGAAATACACAACATGCAAAAAAAAAACTCGTGCCGTTGTCAATCTGCAGGTACACACTACACATTCCCTTACCGGGTGCCTCCTTCATTGGGGCAGCGGTACCTGCAGTGACACCCACGTCTGGAGGGGGGCGGGGGGGGGGGGGTACGACAAAGGTCAGCCAGGGCCGCTACCGGCGCATCTCTGCTCATTAGTACATGTCAGGTCGCCCCACTATTGTTGTCCCCGGACAATCCGGCCGCGAGATTCTGCAGAAATGACCCGAGGGCCACGCATGGCTGCGCTGCTCCTTAGAAGTAGCAGAGCAATGCATGGGCTGGTACAGAACAATCAGAATCATTAGCGTGGGACGCGAATACTGGCGTAATTAATTTCTTTGATGTTGTTAGCACCATACATGAGGTAAAGATGTGGTGTAGTTGATTTTCCCAAAGAAAAATGTTCTAATACGATCGATGGAAACTTGAAATAGATCGCCCGCGGACTTGATAGATAAACGAATTAAACACAAACAGGCTTATCCTCTTTGAAAGTTCTCAGCCTGATTTTGACTGATATGCCAGCACGTACAGTCCACAGCAGAAGTAATGTGGGGTTTCAGCCATGGGTATGTTCTGCTTCTGAAGCTTAGGAACGATTAGCCAGACTACAATGAAACTTTGAATGTAGCTTATATGTATCGTCACCCTTGCAGCTGCAACTTTAGCTATTGACATCTTCTTTTCGATCACTCCGCATTAAACAATCGCCAGTAAAAGCCAACCGATGAGATTGGTAAAACCCTACATTACTTTAGCGGTGGGCTGTACATACGCCTGCCCAGAGCACCCTAGCGTTTGCTGTATAAAAAAATACCGATAACATATGCTATCATAGCATATCGTATTCCTGCGGCGTATTTATTTTATGATTTTATTGCTCCAATTGCTTGGATATTTATTTATTCAGTCCATTTCTTAAGCTTTTTCCGTCAATACTGATGTCATCTGGGGACTTCTTCCGTCTATTAGTGGACATTGCCGGTAGGCAACATTTTAAAATAAATAACGAAACGTAAACGTACCAATCGAGTTATAATGTATAGCACCATTCGAGTGTTCGCTTTAGCGCCACAAATTAATAGCTTAAGTGGACCAAAGCACGGCGCTCGCTCAGAGGTAATGAAATGCCACTTAAATGGCTTCCAGCTCCAGCTATTAGCAGAATCAACCATGATAGCATCAAACAATTGACACGACGTGGTTGCATTAACATCACTTGCAAGTCTCCGGAACCGGTAGAAGTTCGAGATTTAAATTTCGTTCTTGATAACCGCCGAGTTTACCCAAACATCTATCGTGTTTTCCGAGAATTTCAATACCTGTCTGTTAATCTAATAAAGCTTTCAAAGTGCCTTCAAACACGTCAATTGATCCGATGTACGTCTTCTGAAAATTGAATCCACCCAGGAAAGTGTCGGCGACAAAATCTCAGGAGCTTGTACGATTTCTGGCGACAAAGCATTGCAAACCGATGAATCCCGAGAAAAGATCCTAATCTCTACGCAGCTTTGGACTACCCGCTCCCGGGTTAGCCTTCAAATCCCGGGCGTGCACACAGTTCGGCGAGCTCTGTTACTCACCCAGCGTCTTGACGATGACCTTGTCGGAGAACATGCCGTCGCCGAGGTCGTTCTTGGCGGAGACCATCAGCTCGTAGCGCGTGTTGGGCAGCAGGCGGTAGATGGTGACCCGCGAGGCGCCCGGCGGCTCCACCTCGTATGTGTTCCAGTTGGCAGTGCCGTACTGCTGGTACCTGCCGAAACACAGGGAGTGTAAGTGTATCAGTGAATCGTAACGCTGGTACTGTAAAAGTACAGGAGTGTATGGGTCACACAGTGTGCCGTACTGCTGATACCTGCAAGGTATCAGGGAAAGGATGTGTCGCAACAGTACTCCGAAGTGTTTCAGCTGAACAGAATAGTCACATACAGGGGTTGATTCCTTATTTTCTGTTTCGCATTGAACAGCCCTGCCCTGCATAGCAATTCCTGATTCATGCATATTCAACCAAATTTATTGTATACCACTACTGTGAATGTCGGCAGAATATTCTCGATTGTGGCAAGGACTGCTGTCAATTTGGGTTTACAGTTAGCCAGCAGGGGCGCGGGAACTACTTTCCGACTGGGGGGGGGGGGCACACCATAATAGAGATTAACCTAGGGTACCCCCAAATCTAGTTTTCTCACCGGTTTTAGGCCACTTACCTATTTTTCACCCCTCGGCTTTTTCAACAAAAAAAGAAAACATTTGCAAAAAAAGTGTGGTATTCCGTCTGAAAGCTGTGGGGGCACCGCCCCCACGGCCCCAGAGTTGGGGGGGGCAAGCTGCCCCCACTGCCCCCCCGGCTCCCGCGCCTATGTTAGCCAGCGCTTTCTATGAGCTACTTTCCATTCATATTCCACAGCGGCACTAGGTATGTACATACAAGGGGTCGGTAATACGCCTTCACGGAAGCCTGTATGAGACGGCCTTTCCATTTTAGACACATGTGAGCACTTCAGGGCAGTATAAATTGTTTCGATCACACAGCATTACCCGGGCACATACTACTGCTGACACCTAGCGGCTGGGTGACGAAACTCTGTGTCCTGCGGCACAGCATGCGTCAGGCGCTAACTTTGAAAGCCACCTAGCGGTGGGAATGAGAACTACCGAGCTACCGCGATGCGTGCGGCATCTCCGCTTACAGGAGTCTCCGTCTCATTATCAGTCAGCCAATTATACTACGAGCGGTTCGAGATGAAATAAAGCATTCAAGGATGCAAGTGCTAAAAAATACGATGCCGAGTTTTGCCCATGAGCATTGGACGTGATTAGGAAATGTAGGCATTCATGAGAAAGTGTATCATTCTGTGTAGGGTAAGGGCGGGTAAGAGTACGCGGGCGATAAGAGTACGCATCAGCTGTTTCGGTTGCTTAGCAACGCGGGTTTGTCGAGTTCATGAAGTGACATGAAGCCGCCAGTGCGTGCTTGTCACCAACGGAACGTGGGCGTTGAGCGGCGACGCTGTTAAGTTTAAGGCGATGAATATTATTTTCGAGCGTTATGATATTATTATGGTATGGTACAATAATTTTGATACTTGGCAGTTGAGATAAGGTACATTTCCGTGATTGTTGTGGGAAACTTGTGAGGTTATCTGGGGAAAAATTGTGCAGTGCAATTTTCTGTTTGCGAAGTTTTGCACAACGTTTCGGGGTTGTTTTGTGCGCGAATCGCTTGCACGGTAAGAGGACGCACTGTTCAGGAGGGTAAGAGTACGCAGAATTATACATTAAATCGAATATACAGAAATATAAAATTATTAATCTATCGCTCAATGACGTTTATTTTGTAGGTATATCATCAATGGAGCACTGTGATGCAGATGCGTACCCGAAATTCTTCCAAATGCGAGTTATTCTCCCTTTTGATTGTGCATTTTTTTTTTAAGAAACACACGACATGATTATTTCCTGATTTATGGACTTGAAAGATTTATTTTATGTTTTTCTTTTTGGATACTAGAATAAACTTAAATGCCTGAGTTTGAAGTTAAGCATTTGGACAGTACAAGCTGCATAGGTGTGTGTTCATATGCTTGCGTACTCCACCCGCCTGGCGTGCGTACTCTTACACACCCCATATGGTAAGAGTACGCAACTGCAGCGGTTCAGAAAATGTCACTTTTAGACCACTTCCATTTACGCTGAAGGATCGTTGCCCCATGGGTTGATGGCTAATTCAATGAACTTTAATATTCCCTATTTGCGATTTCTTTCTTTCAAATATTAAACAAATGAGAGCAAGAAATCCACTAAGTGCGTACTCTTATAAGACTTCTCCCTATGCCTCATATGAAGCCACATGTGTTCAAAAGGGTAAAAAGAGATAAATGAATAAGGCATCAAAGTCAACAAAAAAGTGCGAAAAAGCTAATTGGAAATCTATTTATCTAGATCCATAGATCCAAGACCCCTGTATACCGGTATCAGGAGGTCTATGCTAGATCTTTAGACAGCATAAAAAGAGACCCACGGAGTAGCTGTCACCTCTTGTCGCTTCTACGGGGCACGATTTATTGGTTATTTTCGCGAGCATTGGACGAGATTAGAATACCAGAAACCTTTCAGGGGTTATGGAAAAGCGGTTTGGCCTGAGACCTCCGTCTCCATTAATGTCGCGCGTGAGACGATCCTCGGCCCACGCCCAAGTAAATTCAGTTTGGGCCTGGCAGGGCCTATCTATAACCATGTAATTGAGTTAAACGGGTATGACTGGAACATATTTCTGGTAATGTGATCATTCATAGATATACGGGGAAATCGCTGCCCGGCCCGGCCGGCTGCGCTCTCTTTAAACGACACTACGCAGCTGGCCCGTTTGTCTTGTCGGTCCGGCGCTATCGATTTGGACAATGAACTCCGGCCACCGCGTGGCCAGTGCCACTGACTTCACCACTCGGAACATCGGGGCTTCGCACAAAGGACATTGTCCAGCGCACTGGTAGCAGCGGCGAATATAGTCAGCGCTACCACTGGTCTCTTTGATGTAGTGTCCATTTGTGAAAGTGTTCGACGGGAGCGTTCCCATATTGTGTTTCATACTGAATGTGGTGCTGCAAGTTCTTTGTGGACAGTGACGCGTGAGATTGTTCAAAGAGATGTCGATCTGTCGGTTTTTACAATTGACCGACCGACGCGAAAGTGTTGTGTATGCACTACAATAAACACAAAGGCTTGAATTGTATGCATGCTGTTGAAATGTGTCACTATATAGTGAGCATTATTTGTAGAGTGATTCGTAGCGAGTACAGACGTAATAAAGTTTGTTTTAACAATGTTTTGAACGCCGCCTGCGGATATAGCAGGCAATTGTAGGAAACGAACTACGCATCTGCTATAAACGTCAATTACCAAACGTATTCACCCCATAAAATATATGGGTTTGAAGATATGTACATGTGCCTTGAGTAAAGGCCACAAGCCGGCAATAAACTACACACAGTCATAACTGTAAAGTACTTATACAGAAGCAATATGCAGATTAGTCTTCAGCAGTTGATCAACGAGCGTTTGTAAAAAAAAAGTTTTATTATATTCTAGATTACAACTTTTGACAAGATCTTGTATGTATATGGCTCTGAGAAAATATTAAACCACGTTGCATTTCAAGGCTCATTATTCATAACGCTGTGAAATTACTTGCAACCTTAAGCTGAGCACGAGAAACATAATTTATTATGACGAATGTGCGCCATAACTTTTGGACCTGATGTCCCATTTAACTATATCACCCACTACAGTTCATGTGACGTATATAATGTCTCCCAACTGTGACTTCAAGGACCAGCTCTGGAAAAATAGCATTCAGTAGTGGTCCCTACGACGTCTCTCGTTAGCTGTCCCACCCCTCATCCCCCTCACCCCCTCGCCTCGGGTAGTCACGTGCCTAATTGAACACGTGATTGGTAATACACCAGCATCGACAGACCTGGCGCTGCCGTACGCGGCACGACAAACGCAATACGGCAGCCCTCAGCAGCGCTGGGCAACCATCCGAGCACGGCTGCCAAATCAGGTCGAATGATTACGGCGCCCTAGGGAGCGATCCTCGTGATCGTGACCTGATATCAGACGCTCCCAGGAGGTCACATGGACAGGGAAATGTGCATATGAGGGCTAACGATGTTGGTGATGCCATGGCTCATATATTGGCGTTGAGTGAGTAACGTGTGTCGTATCACTGCCCCAACTATCAATTACGGATAAATGACGCGAGGTATTCATGAGGTCGCTAATCAAAACAGCTATCAGAAATGTTGTGGGCGGAGAGATATTCATATTACATAGAGCAAAGGCGGGAGGAGGCATCGAACAATCGCCATGGAAAGGCCAACATGGCAAAATGCACCGGAAATTATCAACGCAGAGTGAACTGAGCCCAGCCCAGCTGATATGAAATTACCTAAAGTACTCCAAGCTGAGCTAAGGTTTTGCGATAACTGAGTCAGAGCGAGTCTTTCTCATTCCAGCGAACTCGAATGAACTATTTTCAGCTGGGTACAAACTAAAAGCCCCTAACGATGTTAACAAGAACGTCCCCAGCAGCAGACTTGTCACCACCCCACCCACTCACCAGACGAAGTACTTTTGGTCAAAGTTGTCGCCGCCGCTGTACCCGGGTAGCCACTGGATGGTGATGGCGTAGCTGGACGCGTTGGTGGTGATGTTGTAGGGCGCGTGCGGCGTCGTGCCCTCTACCACCAGCTGTGGGGGGGGGGAGAGGGGGTCAGGTCGTCCCCGTTCGACCCGTGCCGTGTCTCCATGTCGCAGCCGGCCCACCGATGCGGGCCCGACCTTTTCGATATCGTTTACCGAGATTGGCCGATGCACCGAAGGGAACAGAGCGGCGTGCTGTCTCCGAGTTTGCCGTTCCGTAACGTCATTTGCCGGTTTAATAGACTATTGGTTTCTGCTCCGAGTGCCCCAGATTCTCGGAGCACGTCCCAAGGCAATGCAGCTTTGATAAGCATGAAATCAAATCAGGTAGCCTTCAGGCAGTTTAAGTAAAGGAAATTCCATAGTAAGCGGCGTATGAAGCATTGTTTCAACTGCCTATCCCAAACCTAATCATGTCAAAAGGCAAATAGTGTCACTTTATGACATCACAATCAAAGAAAAAATAAACTGCATAGTGTCAATATTCGGGGTTGAGCGACCAAGAAACTCTCGACGAAAGAGTGGATCGTTTAGAGTGGTCTGGAGCTAAGGTCTGAGTGCTATGGCGAGTTTTCGACGAAACACTGAAAACCAAATAAATGTTACCAACATAAAAGTCACACAATTTAACTGGTTTTAGTTTTAAAATGGACCTGAACATAAAGCACTTAAAAAGTTGTAATTAACCCTAGTTCTCAATACAATGAAATACGCCTTATCAGCTGTCCAAATACGAAGCTTAATTAAACTCAATAGCTTTCATTAACGTCTTTTTCGGGAAAAACAGGCTACGAACAATGCTTCGTCATTTTGAAAGACTCGCAGCAGAAGAATTGTCAAATGGCAGAATCAATGCCGCAATTTCCGTCCATTTTACTCGAGCACGCGACCTCCATTGCATTGCGATTCCTTTGAAGTCTCCCAAGAGGTCGGCCTGTTTTTGGTAACAGCAGACTCGCGGCGCGTGGAGGGCTCGCAGCTCACGTGGGACCATCCTTCAGCGACAGAAAATACGCCTTTCACAGCTGAAACTCGGCCCCATCAAAGCTTTGTCACGCCCCCAGCGACGGCACAACGCACGTCTGATCCATAATTGAATGCATGCAGCATAATGGCGGTAGCAACACATTTTAAATTTGAAGCAGCTAGCAGCAAAGATCTTAGAGGACACTAATACCGGCGCACCATAAGGCTTTCCTTCCCGCTGGTATGCATTTGATATGGGTAAGCAATAGGGGATGGCGTAGTTAATTTCCATGGTATCTTCCATTCGTTGTCACTTCCATGGACAATTTCATCGTTGAGCAAATCAGAAAACCTTCGAAGCTTTTGTCCAAAATAAAAGTCAGACCAAACATATCTAGTCTAGCGAGAGCATTCAGCAATATTGATTTAGGTGGGAAAAGAATGACCATTCTCCGGTCAGCTCCTGAACACTTATCCCCGGATCCAGAAGAGGCCTCTCCCTACAGACTGCACAGTCCCTCACCAGACCTCACCCAACTCCCTGAGGTCAGTCAGCACCCCTCGAGCATCTGTCTTCGTTCAGCTGCCGCAGCTCCTCGGGGTTCCGCCCCAGCCCTGATGATCGCGCCAATCGGTTTCGACGACATCGGCGCCGCTCCATCACCCCCTGATGACGTACTGACGACATTGCTGACGTCATCAGCCGTGTGTGACGTCACAAGGTCGGTGGCTGCGGCCGACTGCCCCCCCCCCCTTCTCTTGTCTACGGGTAACTAGCCCGACTCTTCCCTCGGGCTGGGGAAAGCACGGAGCGGGACTCTCAGGCAGCGGCGGAGCGCTGTGGTGGACTCGTAGCGAAAATGCACCGATCGTCTTATTTATTTATTTATTTAACCTTAGTTCAAATGACTGGAGCCAGCATGCAACTTCTTGTGGCGAAACAAGCTTTGGTCCCAGTGTAGTTACATAAAAAATACAGGAATCGCAAACACCATTTCGTGGAATTTTGGTGTGACAGCTGTCTCGAGGGCAGCACCACAGCACGCTCAATTCCATGCCTCCAACGAAACCCAACATTATCGTAACATGCAGGTCTCTGAGCGCTCTGTTTAAGCAAAGTGATCCCTGACAATGGAAGTTCATAGAATATTTCAATGAGTTTTTCGTGTGATACCGAATCAATATTTTATCACCGAAATATTTTCACCAACTGTGCAAAGGCTTAATTTACTTAGAAATTAGGTAGGTGAGCATGAAGCCGTAATTGCCACATCATACGTGGGAGGCTTTTGATGTCAATACAAATTGTTAAACGAAATGGTCGGGCGGACACCGTGATTAGCTCTGTGGTACAGTAGCGCGACAATCTCCATAAAGATTATACCAATTATACTCTGAACATGGAATGGGATAATGAGAACACTTAGTATCAATTAACTACGACAGAGTAAATTGTCTTTCCAGGCATCTACATAGCATTACTGTCTAGGGAATTGCATTAGTGTAATGAGATACTTAATGGTACATTTAACTAAAAAAAAAATGTGCAACGGTATCGAGCTTGGCCTTTTATGCTGCTATCTCAAGCAGCATCAAACAGCAATAATAATACTGTACTTGCTGATGAACTGTAGGAGCCGGAAAAGCCGATCTTCCATATTATAATTTGCCATAGCATTACATTCGAAATTGAACACTTTGCTGAAGGCCACGCGCTTCCCAAACTAAATCAAGCAGCAAGGACAACCAAAACTTCACCGCGTCTGTGACTTAACCAGCTTCATACACAGCCCGCAGTTCATACCTGAGTGGATGTAACAATGGTGGCGACGCTGTTCCGCGCCACACACTCGTAGTAGCCGAAGTCGGACTTTTTCAGCGACTTGATGGTGATGTTCCCCTCGTTGACAATTGCCCGGTCGCTCGGAAGGCTTTGATTATCGTGCTGTGGGCAGAAACAACGTTATATAGATCGGCGAGCACACAAAAACGTTTTTACGGGCGAACGAGCACAGCTCAGAGCCGGCTTCTGTGCAGCGCTCATCAGGCGAGGTGGAAGTACATAATACACGGACGTTCAATTATTTCCAAACAGCTAGGTAGGTCGTTAGTGCCCTGCGCTCCGTAATTGGCCAGTAAATATGTGTGAGTGCACAGCGGCAGACGTGTTTATCAACGCCCGGTTTATCAACGTGCCTGTTTATCAACGCGACAAGTACGCGGCGTCACCCAGGTGACGCTAAAGGTCACCATTATTAGCTGCGGTGGGGTTACCTTCCCGCCGCCAAGTGCCGGGGCAAACATATTAAATGGTCGTGCTGAGGGTGAATAAGGTACAGCAAAGGTGAGCCATAGAAGGCAGCTATTGTACTGGTTTGGTTTCTCAGTAGCGGATAAATGACAACGAAAGTCAACCATTGCTAGAATGGGAAATGAGCAAACAGAGAAAGGACATGTATTATCGTGGTAACTGATTATGCCGACATAAAAGCATAGTAGTAACCACGAATTGCAAAAGCAGAACACCTTTCAGCTATAAAACAACGATTACAATAGCCTAACAAACGTTGAGCGAATGAAAATCAAACTCATTTCATAATGAAGCCGGAAGCGTACGAAAGTTTGATTAAAGGGACCCTCCCACCTTCAAAAAAGTTAATGAATTGGCATGAAAGTGATGTCGCTCGGTTCAGAAAGAGCAAAAAAGAATATCTACCAAATTTCATCGAAAAATATTCACCGGTTTTCAAGATATTAGACTTTTACTTTTGTTTACTTTTTGGGATCTCCGCTGTTCCTAGCGACTTTATTTGAAAGTGCGGCATTTGTTGCGCGCAAAGCAGCATATACCACCGCGTGCTACAAAACGTTTTAGTCAAACATTTAACGGACGTTCGAAAGCCTGATGACGTCATCAGATTCCCGTAATGGTTAAGAGATAGGGACCACGCTGGTCCCACCCTGCAAGTAAAGGGAAGAAATTTCTTGAACACCATAAAGCTGCGGGGGTTGCGACCAGGATAAATGGTGGTTTCTGAGCCTGGCCGCAAACTTGGCTATCTCAACTCAAAACTAATGTTAAGGTGGGAGGGTCCCTTTAAGCCATTTAATGTAATAACCAGTAAAACGCCTTTTGGGCGACCAACGGAGCGAGCGAGAGGATGGGCCTTGCACGTGCGAAATTGCGAGGGGGTACCTCCAACTAACTTGTCCACTGCACCCTACTAACCGGTCTTTAGCGATGTGCCAAATTTCAGCGCAATCGGCCTAGCCGTTCTCGAGATCTGGAAGCGGCACACTGCACGTGCGCACGTGCAAGCGGGGTCCAAACTGACTTTTGCACGGCACCCTACTAACTGGTCCCCAACCGTGTACCAAATTTGAGCGCAATCGGCCCAGCCGTTCTCGAGATCTGGGAGCGCCCCCTGCACGTGCGCACGTGCTGTAGCACCCCAACCTTAACACATGCAGATGAATTATCTGATGGAGACCTAACTGTGTACCGAGTTTCAATTCAATCGGCCCAACCGTTGTGCCGTTATTGAGGTTGCAATTTTGGGGGTTCTTAAAAAATGTCCAACTTTACCACGCGCCACGTGCGGTGGTTGGCAAGAACGCATGGTGGCCATCACACCACAGAACTTTTACGTCCAAGTGACATTCAGTAAAGAAGACCGCTTGTCAATCGGATGTCCCGTTCCTAAGATATTAGCTTTTGAAGAGCGTCCCCACGGCCGGCCGGCCGGCCGGCCGGCCGCTCATACATTAAGGGAAATGTACTCAGGATTTTCCCTTAATTCAGTACCAGTATAACGCCTTTTGGGGCGACTAACGGAGCGAGCGAGAGGGTGAGCCTTGCACGTGCGAAATTTCGAGGGGGTACCTCCAGCTGACTTGTGCACGGCACCCTACTAACCGGTCTCTAGCGATGTACCAAATTTGAGCACAATCGGCCCAGCCGTTCTCGAGATCTGGAAGCGGCACCCTGCACGTGCGCACGTGCAAAACGGGTCCCAACTGCCTTTTGCACGGCACCCTACTAACCGGTCCCTAGCCATGTACCAAATTTGAGCGCCATCGGTCCAGCCGTTCTCGAGATCTGGAATCGACCCCTGCACGTGCGCACGTGCAGCAGCACCCCAACTCCGGCACATAGATATACATATTGCATTGCCTAGTGGGTGCCTACCTGCATGCCAACTTTCAGCGCAATCGGCCAAGTAGTTACCGAGATATTGCAACAATTACAAAAGTGACACCTCTTCGTTTTGCACGTGGCGTGGCACGTGCATAAGGGGTCACCCACATGCATCGGGAATAGTCCAATACTTGGTAGAAGGAATGAAGCTACTCTACAAAAATTACCGCATGTAAATCGGTCAAGTGGTTGCTGAGATATAAGCGTCGCAGAATCGTGACCACGGCCGGCCGGCCGCTCATACTCAGAAATTTCCGTAAGACTCCGCTCGCTTCGCTCGCTCCGTAATAAACGCAAATATTGCATCAAACCATACCCCTACTCGATTTATAAACATGCTCTTTTGACAGCCCACGTAAATGATAAACTCGCAAATTTTCGGCAAGGATTCGTTAGCCTAGCATACAAGAACCCTACCACGAAGCTGCCGGCAACTCTTAGGTGTACCCTATATCAGAGAATAAGCCACCCAAGTCCCCGCCGCATCTTGGCGTGTTGCCAACACCAGTGCACATCCGAGAGAGAAGCCCTCGCGTCCCGCTGATCAGGGCCCAGAGGTAAGGAGCTATTTTGAGACGCACAGAATCCATGCGTGCCGCGGATTAGGTTCCGCCGAGGCCCGAGGTGGTATCACGTAAAATGTTATCGGAAGATGTGTGCATGTATATGTGCGATGTGTGTATTTCCAATTGATGACGATGAAGAAGAAATATGATCTGCAAATCCGCAACTCAGGAAAATGTTTTTTTTTCTAACAGTGTTTAACCACAAACGACTAAAATCCTCGCTCTTATCCTCGCAGCTCATATTTACGATTTTATGCACTTTTGAGCACAACTTTCACTGACCCGAAACCACTAGTTTCATTTGTGTGCAGGCTCGCATAACATTAACTTCACCCCAGTATGTCTCGTCCTCCCATCTCCTATCGTCCTTCCATCCTCTCTAGCCATTCCATCCACTCCAAGCCTCCCATACCTTCCGTCCTCCAAGGTCCTATCATCCTTCAGCCTCTGAAATGGTCTCGTCAGACCAAAAGAGCCTAACCCAACAAAACAAACAGGGCAGGAGAGGATAGGAGGACAGAAAGGAATGGAGGATAGGAAAAGATAGGAGGACGGAAGGGGACTGGGGGCGGGAGGGCTAGAGGGCGGGAGTGGATTGGAGGACGAGGGATGCAGGGGGAGACATTGGTCTGGGCAGGCACCCTAGAGAGTCACCGGGGCTCAGCTCATCCAATGTATGTACAGGCCGCCCAGTCCCCCCAAACACTCACTGCACCCGGCTACGGGTGTGCCCCAGTGGAGCTGTACGCATGGGGTAAAGTTGCCCGTCCAGCCAGGACCAGGGGCTGAGGCGTGGAGGAGAAGGATTTGACTATCCTGAGGATGGAAAAGATGAAATGGTGTGCTACTGCTGTCCTTCCATTCCATCCCTCCCCTTCCATCTTCTTCTATGTAACTCACCCGCCTCCAGACGACTTTGGGTGTGGGCGAGCCCTCCACTGTGCACGGCATCTCGATGGAGTCGTGTACCTTCCTCTGGTACAGGTTCTTGGGCCGGATGACGAACCTGGGAGGCTCCCTGACCACCACCTGCATGTTGCCGGACTCGCCGCTCGAGCCGTGAGAGTTGAACGGCCGACACGTGTAGACGCCCTGGTGCTCCGGACGCACCTAGAGGGTAGGTGGCGCCAGAGGTCAGGGGAGTGGAGGTCTATGGGGGTCGCTGCAGACAGAAAGGAGCCCGACATCCAGATGGCAGGGCCGATGTCGATTGCGTTTGTTGAGCAAAAATGCATGGAAAATGTGGTTCGGCTTACGTGGCATTACATACAGCATTACCAATGAAATCACATTAGTTCGAACAGAAAGAAATGACTGTCTGTGTCCCATCCACGTTCGTAAGATTTACTCGAAATGTAGGTATGAGTTTGACGTTAAATGCATCCGAACATCACATGTCCAATGATCACCAAACAATCAAAGAGCATCATAATCGCAAGAGCTGCACTCACCGTATCGATGAGTATTGAGCCGTTCATGAGCAGTCGGAGGCCAGGTTCGACTTTGGGGTCGAACTCGCGTTTGTTTTTGTACCACTTGATGAACTGGATGGGTGGGTTGGACTTGATGTGGCAGCGGATGACCCCCTGCAGGCCGGCCGGCAGGTACTGCATCGAGGGCGTGTATGGTACGTGGGCCGCATCTAAAAACACGGAGTACGGGACAGGTGAGACACGTGAGACGTGAGACAGGAACGCTAAGTGTTCAATAATGAAGGATTTACTCCCTGAGAAACACACCTGGCTGTCCGGGGATTAAATGGTCACAATCTGATGTCACATCGAAAAATAGCCGACATAAGCAGCGATTGATATAGGCAGATCATCCTTGAAATCAACAGAAGCATATCAGGGGATATACACCGATCACAAAATATAGCAAAAGAATGGCATGAGCTATCTAAAGCAAGTAGCGATAGCTAATAAGGACTTCATACGTTCAGACAAAGCTCCTGGTCGCATTGCATATGTGCAAGTGTTCCATTAGTCATGCTCTACCTACAACGTCTCATGCTGTTGCTCACCCAAAGTTCCCAAGGAGTTCCCTCGCCCGGCACTTACACTCGACCTCGAGGAATCCCGAGGCGCGTTTGGGCGCTCCAATGCCGTTGGACACCTCGCAGGTGAACATGCCCGAGTCCTCGGCCGCCACCGGGTCGATCACCAGCGAGCCGTTGTTGGAGATGTGGAAGCGCCGCTCCAGACCGCTGTGCTGCTCCACGGGGATGTCATCTCGCAGCCAGCGCATGGTGAAGTTGGCCGGCAGCGCGCGGCCCTCGCAGGTGAACACGGCCTGAGTGGCCTCCATTCGGGTGAGGTTGGCAGGGCCGCTGGTGATCACAGCGCCACCTGGGAAGTGGAGAGCGGAGGTTACAGCGACATCTGCGGCCGACGCAGCACATTACAGACTGTTGAGCAGTCCGAGGCCTAACGTGGTGCGCTGAGCACTTATATAGTGTTGCACACGCTTACCACATTTACTGGTAGTTTACCACCCCGGGCAGTCGTCTAGTCAACCGGGCCGGGTCATACCCCGGGGCGAAGGGCAACCAATCAGCGACCAGTCAGCTGGCCACGCGCATGGGCGGTCACGTGTGCGCAGTGAGGGAGGGCAGGCGGGACCTCTACAATAGCTTTACGGATCGCGCTATATTAGCCGGATGAAGATGGAGATTTGTTCCCTTCGTTTGCATTTTCTTCTTTATTTATTCGCCTCTGTTAGTAATTTGGCGAATCCATGATACGCAGCCAGAACCATATCCAACTGTTCTCGGTCTATTTTTATCCCTTTTCCGCCAACAAATCGTCGTTCTGTCGACTGCAAAGAAGTTCCATGTTAAAACACTGACTTAATCGCCGATAAATCGTCTCTGGGCGCCGTTAGCGTCAGCGTCATCCGACCGACCCGGCCGGGCGAGGACAGCAGAGACAAACACACTGCTCTGGCCTTCTCCTGGTCACTCCGCAGAAAACTGTCACGGCCCCCTACAGCCCACGCAGATATAAATCAGCTCAACTGCCCCAAGCTTTCAAGCGCAATGATAAAAAATGTTAGCTACGATAAAATGGAATTGGTTTTGATGCAAAAATAACCAGCTGAATAAGGTCACGCATCGTAAATTTTCAATTCTCAAACATGGCACGTTTTTACGATGATATAAATAAAGAAATGCAGCCGGCTCGACAAAGCTACAACCTATCCACGGTCCGGAAACTGATTATGTGACGTCATATCTCACCTGCTAGGATAACTTTGGTCGTTGAGTGTACGCTTCCCTCGGTGTTTTCAGCCACACAGATGTAATCTCCGGTGTCGGCCTCACTTATTCGAGTTATCCGCAGCTCTGTTCCGTCGTTTTTTACCGCCACCGTCTCCGTATCCTGAATTCGTTTGTCCTCCTGTTGGAAAAAAGGGCAAAGTGTTACATCTAAGAAAACAGCCATAGCATGAATGAAATATGAGAACATATGGGAATTGGGAAACATGTGATCATTACCAAATAAAATAGTGGTGATGGGTCAATATTAAACGAGGCGAAATAATCGATAGAAATTAAAAGCACCGTCGGTAGATTTAAGATTTGATAACGAGAATGACATTGAGTGTTTAATACAATTTATTAAAATTGCAAGGGCACAAAAAGGGACTGAAAGACCGCACTAGCCTCACAGTGTGTATTTTAAAAGTCGCAGGGTCGGCTGAGCTAATAAAGAGCTGCGTGACATCCGCCGACAACCACCAACAGCGCGGCCGACAGGCGCGTCTGACGGACGCCGCTAACTTGTGACGTCGTGTCAGCGCCGAGACAAACCCGGCGCGGCCGCAGAGCGGCCGACCGACGGCGCCCTGTCCCCGAATTAGCCGACGGAAAACCGCTCCGAGCCGCCAAAAATCGCCAGAGGACAGCGGCGAACCGCCTACGAAAAACAGCGATGGAAAGTTCCCGACGCGTTAACTTTTAATTTATGACAATAAAAGATCCCCGGGGTGGGTTGAAACTTTTCAACAGCAGGCTAGAAGGCTTTCTACTAAAAAGATGATTGTTGTTTTAGGAGGGGTATGAGATAAAACGGAGTGAACGTCACATACGAGTTAATTTCGGCGGTGAAGACGGCAGAGAAGTAATAAGGCAAACAAAGCTGTGCTATTCTTTCTTCTTTTTTGAATAAAAAATTTACGTTCGAAATTCAGATTCATTATGCTTGTTATTCCAGCGTTTGTCTGAGTGCGTGCGCCTTTTATCACGCATCACGTGCTCCAGAGCCTTCAGCAACAAAAGGAATTCCTAGGGTCGGGGACGGCGCAGAAAGCCAATGAAATACACGACTCTAAAATGTGCCACCAAATGAAAAGGAACGCCGTGCACAACTTCCTAAGGATAAGATGTTATAGAAGCATGGTGGTATCAGGCATGTATAATAAATTTATCGCATAAGAGGTTTTACAGCAGAGCAAGTCTTAACAACTGCTCGAAATGAATAATTAATATACGAATTTGCTAAAGCACCTGCATTGTCGCACCATTACACTATCTGCTGACAATCTCTCATGCACCAACTTATCATTTAGCATAGTGTGAGCAAAAGAGAAACCGGCCCTTTAAATGAAATAAAACAAAGATATGCCGCCTAAGCTGGCGGCTTATGTCCCGCGGCTCCAAACGGATGCTCCATTCCGGGCCGCATTCCCGGTCCCAGTGCCACCGGACCCTTTGACCCGGCCGGACCGTCACCCGACCCCCGTGACCCCTCCAGGTGACCCCACTGACCTTATACCACTTGATGACAGGCTCCGGTGTGCCCTGTGCCACGCACGCCAGTATCTCCGAATCACCGAGGTTGACGAAAATATTAGCGGGCGGTTTCCGCACCAGTCTTGGTGGCGCTGAAACAAAAACACACGCCGAGAATTACATAGAGCCCAACTTCAGACGGCCGGGCCCGTCCGAAAAACGGGCGACTAGATAAACATTGGGCGGTGACGTGCCGGATAACAAAGATTAGCCTGGCGCATACACAACACCCAGAGGACGATGTTTGTTTGGCAGATGGGGATATGCATGAAGATATATGGACGCGAAGTGATGTTTCAATCGTGGAAAAGGGGCAGCTTTTGCAGGGAGGCATAAATCTATCGATGTTTAGAGAATAAGACATGACTGGTGACATTGATTTAGCAAAGACGCCTTGGCACAAACAATCAACAGATATATCGAAATACACATCTAACTTTTAGCACACATCCATGAAGCATTAACAGACAGATACATTGATACACTACATTCGCTAGTAAAACATTAGCAATAGAAACTGGAAGCCATCAGCAATCACCATCTTACCGAGAACGTCTGCTTTCACCACATATCAGCACTGACTACAACCTCTCTCGTCATCGTCTGACCTAATCTGGCTAGGCCACACCGCCCCCTTTATTGAACGTTACATCCCCCATCCCCCCCCCCCCATACCGTATACGTACCATGCACGTCCAGATGGACCCAGGTGCCGTTCCCGAGCACGGCCGGCGACCGGTCCAAAAAGTGGACCACACACTCGTACCAGCCGGCGTCCGACTCCGTCACATTGGTCATGTTGAGGGAGGCCATGCCGTAGTGCTTGCTGCTCAGGTCGACCCGCTTCACTCGGCCTTTGTACGGGTCGGCCACGTGCGGAGGGTATCCGTCGTACCAGATGTAGAGGGGCGTGTTGGAGTTCTGTGGGAAACGGGTGGGGAAAGACGTTAACACCGTGGACTAAAACACAGAGAAAAAGATAGTGGTGAGAGCAGATGAATCCCGTCTGACAGCCGGAGTACCTCAAAGGTACGCTGGGGCAGCGGGCTAGCCAGCGGCACCGCACAACACTAGGCAGGCCAGCTACCTCACCCTCCCCTTCATTCGAACGGAGTCGGGAAGACGTAGATTGTGCTACCGAGGTGTGACTCGTATGAACGAACTTGGAGTAGAACCAGGGACATTGTCGTACCGGGCGAACATCCGAAAGGTGCTGCTGTCTAAGCAACAGACATGAGCAATAGCATGTATGGGTACGTGTGTGGGAATTTTGCGTGCTGCACACTGTTCCTCGTTTTGTATCACACTATCATGACGTGGACATGTGAAAAGCCTCACTATTGAGAGGACCTTGTCTGAATATATCTGTAATCTGTAATCTGTAATCATGCATAAAAAGTTGGTTCCTTGCTTACAGAAGCTACGTACCTAACAAACGCTAAGCAGTTAATGTCCACACACAACTTTTCCAATATTGGCGATAATTACCGTTAGTAAGCAATAAGCATTGCCAAAATGCTTCGCTGTTCCCCTGAGCATTTCTCACAGTAGGAAGTATTCATAATCCACATACGTTCAGACATCATGACACAGCTCGCAGAATCTGCCACGTGTCCCATATGACATAACTAGCATCATCAACTAGCATCATCACAAGCCGGGGACGGCTGGACATTGGCAGCGTTATGATCCAGGCTAATCCAATAGAGGACACTCGGGAGACGCGCCCAGCGAGAGACAGACACCACGCTGGGAGCGCCGAATAAATGACGCTGATAATTGCCGCTCCCAGACAAGAGAGGCAATATACGGCTTTAATTAACTGTCGGCCCGTGAAAGCAGATGGATGTGGATGCTCGACTTAGTCGCAGATCGCGGTAGTGTATGCGCCTGTTTTATGAGACCAGAGAATGAATGGAATTGCGTTATTAAGGCGTTAAATTGATAAATGACGTCCTAATGTTAGAATTATTTCAGCGAGTTGCCGAGTGGACAGGAAATAAAATGCATTATCATTTCTGCTGAACGAATTGTTGGACGTTTGCTGAGGAATATCTAGGACGGTGGACGTTGTTCCGACGGTATAACTTGACGTGAGTCAACATTAATTAGATAATCATTTTAAAAAGAGATAGAGGTATGTGGTCTAGTAAAAAAAACTACCGTTTTAGGCATTCCAATCGCCAGCCGGATAGGAAAGACGCCGCACGGCGAGCGCCGGCGACTGGTAGGTAGACTGCGCCGCACTACACCACTGACTGACGGTTATACTGTCCCGCAATACACCTCTGGCGGCCGGGCGACTCCACCGGCTGACGAATGAACGATAGCTGCTCTGTAGTCTGTACTGCGCATCTGACTGGCAAGATGTTACAAAAACTAAGAGGATCATACTCCTGGTATTTACACAAACCCTTATAGCAGGATGAGAGCAAAGAGCGTTCGTTTCATGTAAAAAAGAACGTAACACACTGTAATGAAAAAGGATGGTGTGACGGTTTCGAAACGGTCATGTATGCATACTCGCATTTGTAGCTGCACCAAATCCACCAAGCCTCGCACAAGCTGCGACAAACCACGTCTGCTGAAGGACAGTAATGGCTAATCGATGTCGTTATTTTCCATTTTAATGCCGCTCCAGTTCACGTCAAGTAGAATGTCGGCAATATCTCAGCGTATTCGAGCCAGTTACGTCACGGTTGACTGACCAATGAGCGGCCGAGAACTCGCCTGTTTCTTCCATTCGATGACGTAGGGGACAGGCTGTCCATCGGGGAAGTCGAGAGGACAGTCCAGGATGACACTTTTCCGGCCCACAAGGGCCGTCACGTGCTTGCCTCTGCCCATCTCCACTCCTGCGGAGAGAGAAGAGGTCACAGGTCAGGTTACAAAGAAAATGCAGTGAGCGAGAAGTGAGATGTGCACCTACCACGCTGTAGGTCGCGAGCAATAATGGTGAACGCAAGACAGCGGGAGCTACGTCTTTTACCAATTAAACTAACAGAATGACGCAAATTCCAACAAAATAATTTGTGCCCATATGTCAAACGAGTGTCATGCAAGGAAAACAACTTTTCTCTAAACCACAACGAATTTTCCTCTCATCCCAGATATATCAGCCCATAGCCCATCCTCGCCAAGCAGATGTCTGATCTTTACCACGGCAAGTGACTGCCCGCCGCGCCGGCGACGGACGTCTGACACCATCACTTGTTTCTCGTTTTGCCCTCCTCCCACCCCACCCACCCAGTCGCGGTCATTAGTAACCAACGGCTGCGAGCCGTGCGGGCGATAATGAGAAGCAGACCAGGGGTGACGACCACTAAACCGGACCATTTGCCGGTCCATTCCTCTTCCAGGGACCCAGCCCGCGGTCCAGCATGGTCCAGAACGACCCTCACTCTTTTCTTTGACTTGGGTTTGATGAATGCATTCGAATACAATTCCCACATTAACACGGCTCGTTTCTTTATTGATTTGACCAACGCTGCCAAAAAGTAACTTGAAGTGACTAGGGATATTGAGGGCTATGAACTGGAAGCTGAATCAGAATAAGCCCCGCGAAAAAAAAGTTTAAAAAGATGTTCCACGTGAAAATCGCCATAGAACAGAGATGCTTGTTTTCATGGATATCTATAAAGCAAATGAGAATTGATAAAAATAATTAGAGCCCTTAAATGATTCACGAAGTTGTAATTGAGAATGCATGCTGTTGTTGCAGGTTACAACAAATGTTTTCACATTGCCTTTGCCGAAAGTGAAACATATGTTCCAAACCAAAAATATAACATCAGAGCACCTGTGCGCTCAAAACTCAAAATATAGCACCAGAGCACCTGTGCCGGTAAGATCCAACAAGCTGGGCACTGAAAAAAGCCAAACTGGATGTCCCATCGACCTGTGTCGTTACCATTCCTACAATTGGATGAGCATGAATACAAATGCCGCTGTTCCCCTTGAGAGCGTTTGTGTCCCAGAGAGATGACACGGCTGTCTCCAGAACAGAGACAAGATAAATATCCAGTCCCCGCGGGAGCTCAGGCTAATTTCCAGGGAGGAAGCATTTGCGCGTAGAAAGAGCGCAGCAGGCGAAGGCAGATGTAATTTGGATGTAATGCGGCGAAGTGCATCGCTGTTTGGCTTTTGGTGCTTCAAGAGTATTTGTCATCTAAGTAATTGCTCATATTCATCTAGAAGGTCAAGATTGATATGAATTACAACTAGCCATAACGATTCGCACGAAATCTGCCATCGCTATGCATTATGAAAGAACCAAATAAAAGACGACAAGCGATAAAATAAATCTGAAAGGTGAGAGTGTTCGACTGAGGATAAGAATATGTCAGGATGCTTGTTTCGAAAAGATGCTTTTCTCAAACCATTGATGATACCATGTTGAATGTTCCGAATTTTCAAGCGAACGTTGCCAAGAGAATAAAAATATGACCCGAACCTGCTTCCGCCGAAGGCCGATCAGTTATCTGCGTGATAAAAAGTTTCAGTTTCAAATCGAAACACCAAATTTTCGAGTCTAAAAAAGATAGTTATTTAACGGTTTAAATAAGAATATGGCTATTGGCGCTTGAGGCTGCAAACAGTTAGAGGACAATGGCAAAGCTGTCATCGAAAGCACAGCGTCACTTAATAAAGCGATGTCAATAAAGCATCATTCCGAAAGCCGCAGCGTTCGCCTTTAATTTCGCTTCCCTTGGGTATTGAGCGGCAACAACAAGCACAGCCTCATGAATATTTATACAGACGTCGATGGCCACAGTTTGACCTGGACACGGAGAGGAGACACAAACGAGTGCCTATTTCAGCTCAGCAACCGACCCGCGCTACCTCAGCTCCGACAGAATGCCGATATCCACGGAGGGAATTCTACACGGACAGGATGTAACGACGGGACGTTGCCACGGAGTAGCTGGAAGTGCAGCCGATCGATAAAAAAACTGGAGCGGCGTTACGAAACATTAATCGATGGAGATGTGTGACTTTTCCTACAAACGGCAAACGTGGGCCTTTGTTGATGCTTGAAAACAAAAATGTTGATGGGATTGAAATGCCACTAAACATAAGCCGTCTGAGAATCTATCTCGAGTTATCGTGAGAGCCGCACGTGCAAGCGAATGCGGCAGGAGGCAGTGATAAACCCCGTCGTGATCTCCCAGCCGGCGGAGCCGCGGCTCCCATCTTCACCGGTACATCGTCGGCGTCGACTCAGAGTGGGTGTGAGTCGACGGCACCGACGCGGTCCGCGCCGCCGAGCGGTGCGGCACCATCGATCCAGGCGAGCCGCCGACGCCACTCCGACCCGCCGACATCTTTCGATCAGACGCTTCGACGTCATGCACTTCTCATCTCCCCCCGAACCAACGTCTCTCTCACCAGAACGAACCCTCGCTGGGCAGCGACGATCGGTTTCTTTTCCATTCGTTTTTTTTTTTTCTCCCCGTGTGCTATATTCATCCGGGGAATATTTTCTGATCAGACGGAGCGATATCTATTCCGGGCGCGCCCCAGCCGAGCTGAGTGAGTGCGCGCGTCACCCAGGACAAGCGCCGAGCAATAATCGCCGTGCCACCGTCACCGCCCGCCAATAGGCTGATGATAGGCCGCGCCCGGAGCTGATGGCACACCAAACGGATTGGTGTCACTCAGGAGGAGAGGGGGCGTCGGAGGCGGTGATCCGGGCGTTCGGGGTGTTCCTCTGTGACCTCTGGGGTGTCTGAAGGTGCCTCCCTGTGACCTGGGAGATTTGTGGAGCGCCCGCTGTGACCAGGGAGCTCTGTGGGAGCCTGTCGATAGCTTAGGGGTGCTCCAGGTCTGAGGGGTTACATAGGTGCTTGTGCGAGGTCGGGAGATAACTAGGTGACTACGTATGCATGCGCCCCAAGGGATGACTAGCCAGGAAGGGTGAGAAGCGGAACTGGAGGGTGGGACTGGTAAGAAAATGGGGTCAAGAGATGCTCTGCGACCCAAGGAAGAGGGCAGTGCCAGGAAGGGCCAACTACTCGGGAGCCAACAGGCTGAGGAGAAACAACGGGAGGTCAAGAGTCGCACCCGGGGAACCAGAGAGGCAGTGTCCCGCGCGGGTCGGCCGTCCGCTGTGGAGGGAGATAGTAGCTGCACAAAGAGAGGCCGGGATCGCAAGGGATCCCGCCGAGAGCTTCGGGGAAGAGGGCAGGAAGCTATCGGTCAGCGCCTGTTCCCGGGTGCCCGGTCGGGTAGGGGGCAGGGCCGACCGGACGGGGCGGGGGATAGGTCCTACGGCAGCGGAAGGCGCGGTGTTTGTCGACCCGTACAGATATTTGATGTCACCCTGTGCAAACCGAGGTCTGTTGTCGACTGATGGAGGCTGACATGCTCGTTTTCGATGTTGGTAGACCATTATAGTTAGTTGGCACTCATCTGCCGCAGCGTCTGCCGTTAACTAGGCCAACACATAGCCGTCGCACAATGCGCGTGACGACGCATTTTACAGTCAACCGATTTTCTCTTTCCAGCTCAGCTTTTCTTTCTTAGTTCTCCAGTCGCTGCTTTTTTGATGACTCAAGAGCTTTCCGGGCAGATCTAAGGAGCCTGGTGTAAGCTTTTGAAGCCTAACATCTTTCCGCGACCTTACCATATCAAAATTATCACGTTTTCGTACCACCGACCAAGCGAAAAGATGCATCAAAACTTCAAGCATTTTCACAGCTTACATAGGCTGTGCGAATTCGTTTTCGTCATCATTCCGCATAAGAGTGGAGCATTTCCTTCCCAGCGAGATACTTCAGGAAACAAATGGAGCATTAGAGATGAAAGAACCATTCGTTTCCTCGCTTATTACAACAAATGAATGATCGCTTTACGGAAAGTGCACTCCAATAGAGCAGGGGCCTGGCTCGGAGCACTAACTGTCATCTGCGGCAAAGGAGCCCAACGCGGCGCAGCTCGACAGATTTATCGCACAACTCGGAAAGACGACAAACCAGCTTTGCGGTTCTGCCAAATTCAGTCAGATTTCCAAAGGCCTTTGCCGCGAATTTCTCGCTCGAACAATGGAAAAGATTATCGCCAGAGATGGGAAAATGCAAAGCTATTAGATTGGAATCTAAGCTGCGGGGCTTCGCAGCCAACCAAGCGGTAAAGGAAAATAATGGACTATGGTGGAACAAATCCATTTTAATTCGAGAATAAATGCCGGTCAGTGTTCGGCTATTGGCGGAGACGTATTATCATCGATTTAACGTCAGCAGCCGCCGAGCCTCATACAGAAGCGCAGTGTGGTCCACAGAGGCCAGATTCGGAGCCGCTATTTCGAGTCGCTGAGCGATATCAATTTGGCATTGGCCGAGATTCTATCTGTGGGATAGTCCAGATAGAATGATACAAATCAGAGATATCGGATCGACGGAAATATATAAAACGAAACATTATAAAGAACCTCTCAATCAGAATTCCTCTAACACTGCAAAACATAGATCTCCTTTCACATAAAAACAGTCAACGGATCAGTGTTTTAAGTCCAAATACATATACAAAAACAAATGTACCTTTTCGGATCCCGTGCGGACTGAGTGACGGAAGGCAGACGGTTGACGGTGGTCGGTGGACGGTGGACGATGTACGGTGGATCGACGGTGGACGGTGGATGGTCACGATGGACTGTGGACGGTGGATGGTGGATGGTGGTCGGTGGTCGGTGGTCGGTGGACGGTGGACGGTGGACGGTGGATTGGCAGTGGACGATGGATGGCAGACGCTGGACGGTTAATAACGAATGGTGCACAGTATTCAATTGACGTCAGTGGACATCAAGACACATTGCCCCTATCCTCTGACCAGGTTCGGCGAGCGGCGAGTTCAGAGAAAACCGCCATCAGCAGCTTAATCAATACGGGCCACGGGACTGAGCGGGCGGCCACGGCAGCGATGACTGACACGATCAGACGCGTGGGGCACCGAGAGGGTCGGGTAGAGTAAGAGAGGGACGGGGAGAGTGTGGGAGGACGGTGGATGGGCGGGTAATGAGTGGGAATATTGGGTCAGACGGGTGTACATGGAGAATCATTGCTATCAACGGGGTAATTTTGAGGTGGATAGGCAAAGCTTGGAAGAATATGGCGATGTCAGAAAAAAAGAAAAGATGAAGAGAGATTGAAGTAATAAGAAGAAGGGAAGGAAAAGAGAAAGAAGAAGAAAATCTAATATCACAAAATGTTAATACAAACCAATTAACGTTGAGTAGACCTCACCTGGTCGAAAATCACAGATCGGAAGTGGGGTGGTGGGAAACAAAGCGCATGCGATTGGAGCATCCCACGAATAACTAATGTTTCTACCGTGAGCATCTATTTATGTAAAAAGGCAAACCGATTGTCCAGAATCAGGTCAGGCGAAGCAGCAGCGACCACGATTTCTGGAACACGGATAACGATGCCGGACTTCTCTGAACAGTTGCAGGTTTTTGTCACTGACCATTTCCAGCGACTGGTCTGATTGACCAAACGTGACCAATCAGCTGACTAAAACAAACGACCCACGCTTACACAGCCGCCGAAATGCATGCCACAAAAACCGAACACGACCGTCGATCAATGGTAGATCGTGAGGACATGTGACCTCACGTTACAAGCCAGTTTACTCATTTTCTGATGTTCAAACTAACAAAATAAATATTCAAAAAAATAACATGATATATACAAAACGCTTCAAAATATCACACCGTCAGAGCCACTGCAAGCAGTGAACACCTACTAAAAACCTACATTCACTTTGCAGCCGCGCTGGCATATTGGTCCAAATGCACGTTCCACCCTCGCCAGAGTGTAAACTGCTTATGACAGGCCACTCTGTCGAGTGCTTCGGCCCCGAGGTGGAAAAAACGTTTAAAATTCCGCCCGTCGCTTTCGCCGGTGACTTTGCGATGCATCTGACCGGGTCACTTTAAGGTCGCAGCGTCAGCTTTGGACCTTGACACAAATAGGGTATTGGCTGTGACAGAAACGAGATTGTCGGAGGAATACCAAACGACGCTCCCGACGGCTCTGCAGTTTCTGACAGTGCAGCTGTAAAAAATGATCTAGAATAGCCTGCCAGCTTCAGCAGTGAGCTGTGGGATGAAAGAGTGAAGATTGACGAAAAGGTTATCTATGTTTATCTGTGTGGTTATTCCAAAGGTTATCTGTGAACTCGCACTGATTCCTTTACCTTACCAGTATAACGCCTTTTGGGGCGACTAACGGAGCGAGCGAGAGGGTGGGCCTTGCACGTGCGAAATTGGGAGGGGGTACCTCCAACTGACTTGTGCACGGCACCCTACTAACCGGTCTCTAGCGATGTGCCAAATTTGGGCACAATCGGCCCGGCCGTTCTCGAGATCTGGTGGCGGCACCCTGCACGTGCGCACGTGCAAAATGGGTCCCAACTGACTTGTGCACGGCACCCTACTAACTGGTCCCTAACCGTGTACCAAATTCGAGCGCAATCGGTCCAGCCGTTCTCGAGATCTGGAAACGACCCCTGCACGTGCGCACGTGCAGCAGCACCCCAGCTCTGGCACATGGATATGCATTGCCTAGCGGGTGCCTACCTACATACCAACTTTCAGCGCAATCGGCCAAGTAGTTACCGAGATATTGCAACAATTACAAAACTGACACCTCTTCGTTTTGCACGTGGCACGTGCGTGAGGGGTCACCCACATGCATCGTGAATAGTCCAATACTTGGTAGAAGGAATGAAGCTACCCTACAAAAATTACCGCGTGTAAATCGGTCAAGTGGTTGCTGAGATATAAGCCTCGCAAAAGCGTGACCACGGCCGGCCGCTCATACTCAGAAATTTCCGTTAATCTAAGGAAAGACTACGCTCGCTTCGCTCGCTCCGTAAAAAGTAGTTTTTAAGAGTTGAAAGAAATAAATGCCCTAAAATGCTGAGCAGCGTCGACGATTTTCTTAGAAAATACAGACTGAAAGGTACTTTTCCAGTTGTGCCACCTTGCGTCACATATGATGTCATCTGACGTCTAACTTCTGCAACCAAAAAATATCCCCGAACGAACGCCTTGACTCATCACGCCCCCCAAACACCCAACGAAATCGGCGGCCCACGCCCGGCGCTCCGGAGCGGCAGTCCGCTGTGACGTCACTCTCACTGTCGGCCATGGTGACGTCACAGTGACGTGGGTTCCCTCACTCACCGGTCGTTGCCGGTAGGTATGCGAGCAGTAGCATCATCCAGGCCGTCCTCATACTCCGGTCCGGCCGGCGGGGCGGCATGGCCCGCCCATCAGAGCCGGCCGGTCACCACCTGAGGGCACACAGAGAGACATACGGGGTCACACGAGGTCACAGAGGGCGCAGAGGGTCTTTGAGGGTCAGAGAGGGGTCACACAGGGTCACGTGGGATCACGGAAGTTCATTCGAGGTCATGTGGGTCACGCAGGGGCACAAATGGTCACATTATGGTCATGCACCGGCCATTAAAGCCGAGCCATTGCTGACTGACCTAGCCTAACATGTTCAAGAAAACCTGTTCATGCAATCGAATGATGTCACAACAAGGAAGCCACCATGACGAATCCAAAGTAGATACCTGCCACTCTATCGTAACGTGCCGTGACAGCACGTGACGCAAAACACATCACCCGCCAGCAAAAACGGCTAACAAGAAACGTCCTGTTTGACAATCCTGATCCCGTGATGACATGAAAGATGGCTTTTTCATGGTGACAAAACTGCGAATGGTTGGGCTTCACCACGCGGCGGGCACGCGATGCTGAATAATGGGGCTTGTAATTACAGGTCGTGTTTGACCTTGCCACGAACACAGGATCAGAGGCGCGCCATCGTCTTATCTAATTACGAAGTTGTAGCATCACCATCAACGAAATTATTAAAACGCTGAGGTATTGAATTAATATTTAGAGCCATTTTCAGGAATTGTGCGCTATTGCTAGGTGCATACGGTGCATACGGCCTTCATTTTTTTGCTAGAAAAAATGAAGCAGGTAAACAAAGCTAACTCATGTAAGTTGCATGCGTCTAAGTAATCTTCATTCTTCAATGAGACAAAACAAGTCCACTAATCACTCGCTGTGCTCAAGCATAATATCCTCATTTATGCCGCTGTATCCGTGTCTTCTAATTTTACACCGGCTGCCTTTCCGGCCTCTCTCTGCCGGGCCGCGCTGCGCTGGCCGGCCCGCGGGGCTCGTTTCCATTCAGCGCGCGTCCTCCCGGTTCTGATACGGCCACTAAAGTGGCAGCTCTGCGCACACAGTGGCCCGGGGCGCCGCTCAATCGAGACAAAACGGACGTCAGTTGTCTGTCGCCCACGAATCACTGAGCTTTGAGACAGGTAGCTCGTATTGTGGAGGGGTTATGTTATGCCGATCTTCACAACATCCCTCGTCAATAGTTGTTTAATAAATCGCTAGCTCAATATTAAGACTACAATCAAACAGATCAAACAGTCGGCTGAATCAAAGTTTGACATTCTAATTAATCCGATTTAGAATTGCACGCTATGTTGTTATCATGATGCTGCACGCTTCCACCAAAGACCGCCTTTCGCAGGCTTCCAAAAATACGTTTCTACGACCACATCTCAGGTCTCCCTAGCACCACACCACTCCTCTCCTCTCTCTCCCCTCCCGCAATCTGCACGGCGGCCATCCATCTCTCCATCTGAGCGCCAATCCGATGAGCCTCGGCGTGTGTGTGTGTGTGTGTGTTTGTCCGGCGCGTCTCGCCGATGGGGTCGGTAACGACGACCGCCGTCGTCGGGAGCGACGACCACCGTCATTACCGCAAACACCCCGATCGCGCGCCGCCGCCGACGCGTGACGCCGCCGCGGGTCTGGAGGAGGGTCGGAGCGGAGGCGGAGGGGTGGAGGTTCTCCCGAGGGTCCGGGGAGGGTGGGAGGGGTGTCTGGATCCGCGCAGGGCGGCGGCGCGACGGCCGACTGATGGTCCCGATGATGAGGTCGAAGATGATGATGGTTATGACGCCGGCGGCGCCGATTTGAGTTAAGGAGCGTCCAAAGTGCCGCCGAGCCGGCCGGTATTGCATGCATGATGGAGTTCGGAGCGAGAAATTCAACGAAAACATTGAGCGTTATATTTGGTTTTATTTCATTTCATATCGTTTTCGCTAGAAAAGCAGGTCGACGTTAGCGATAAAACACAACTGTCTGTGATGCGGCCAAAGCTGGATAAAGACCGATGTCAGTGTTAGCTGTCTGCTCAGCTCAGAGATGCCCGAGAGAACTTCGTACTTGGTACGCTACACTTGGTACTTAGCTAGCGCAACGGTGCGTTAGTAATCGTACCAGATTCATACAACCCAGTCGAATTAGGCATTGGGAGGTGCTATAAGTCGCACATGCAGAATCGGGCAGACGGGCGCCATTTGGGGAATGATTCGCCCCGGGCAGACGCCAACCACCTGACCAGTTAACGGCCTACCAGCCAACTGCTATATTCTTAGTGCTTGTAAAGATATTTAATTTTTCCAGCATCATTTCCAGTTAGTCTGTTTTGCTTTGTAAATCATCCTTCAAAAGTGCCGTAGGGAAAGGCCCGTTAATTAAAAAGTCCCTCACATCTTTTTAACCTTAGATGTTTAAAACAGACAACCTAGCAGACATTGTACGGTATTCCAGACAAAAAAAAAACGGTATTCCAAACCAAAACATCAATTGGTTTGATTAATAAAACTACGCTTACTAAACAACCCATCGTTTCCATATTCTGTAGTGCGCTCTCTTCAAATTTCAAACACCTGGAAACGAGTAGCAAATCCAACCGAGCTGACTGGCTACAATGTAAACATTTCAGTGGCTAATAAAACCATTTTCTACGTATCCACTCCGATTTTGATGGTGTCAAACAAGGGAGTCCCTTTTCCCCGCCACAGAATCTGACATCCGCCGTCAGAGGCGGTTTGCTAACTTCTTGGACACCACCGCTCGGTCAAGTGCACCCGCTTGGAACGTGGCTTTCCGCTGGGCTTACCGCTCTGAAAGTTGGACGGAGACCCGAGTGGCATGTGGCATGTGCTGGTCAACTGAGTGACTGACAGACTACTGTGCTGGTCACAGACTGACGGAAAGACTACTGTGCTGGTCAACTGACTGATGGACTGGCCACTGTGCCAGTGAACTGACGGAAACGGAGCATGTTTCTGTGCTTGCAATGCTCACTGACGGACAGACTGCTGCGCTAATGACGGATAGGAGCATATTTCTCCCCGAGAGGGTAAATTACAAGATAAAAGATTCGTTCATGTTCAGAGCACCCGAAGCATACATGGCATGCCCAAAATGACGGTACCGATTGCCCCCAATGTTTACAGTACACATGCCGTGTATGAAGAATATCATCGAACTTGAATTTACACACGATAGAACAATTTGTGCACTGTTTATAATCACGGCCACGGGGCATTTGAGTGCAGCATGGAAAGGCTGAAAACCAGCATTTGTGACGCCTCGCGTGCAATGCGAGTGTAATTGAAGTGGAGCGGATTTAGGTACTTGAATTGCCAGTTGCAGACTGAAGCCAGGCGATTGAAAACAAGATGTGTGACATGATATGGCCCTGCAAAGCTACCTTAAGCTTCAGCTCGCATGATATAGTGATGCACTTTACAATAAATAATAACGAAACTGCATTGCAACACTAAAAGTGAAAACAAGTAGGAATACAAGTTTGAAACTTTTCGACAATGAAACTAGGCAAAAAAGCCACGTCGCACACTTTGTGGGCAATCATGTGATGTACACCAAAGATGAGCCATACGTGATGCTGAATATATTCATTATGCTCAGCTCATTTTATTATCATTTTTCCGGAGGAATGGCCGCGATGTTGCCATACATTACTAGCTAAATCCAGCCGGGTGGCGGAGCGCCAAAGACTTATTGCGTCCATAAATAACCCTGGCACGGTCCGGTCTGTCTACCATCTCACGCCACCATGGTGATCGTGTCAAATGCACCATGCGTCTCGGAAGGGAGCCTATTTATAAAGCACGGGGATGTTATACATACACCGATACATCTGTACCTACTGAAGCATTTTTGGCCGACCGGAGACAGAAGTTACCATCTTCATTTCAATTTGCATCCGAGGTGGACAGTATTGCGCAATGCGCATGACACGTGTTCACAAAACATATCTTGTAAGTCGAAAAGACTGACTCCCAAACCTTCAAGCAATATCGCTACACTGTATAGCGATTAGCGATATCACCAAACTTCCATCCAATCACTGGGATCAACAACGGCTCATTAATCTAACACACCGAAAATACCGTTTGAGTGTTCCTCTCGTTTCACAAATGGAAAGCAAAACAAACCACTCAATCTTTTGCCCGATGAGTTGATCGATGTGTTCTCACATAATCTGCATACAAAGTTGGAAAACAACACGACTCTCCAGTCAGGATCCACGCTGGGCTTACAATACGCACTATGGACCTTGCCAGATCGGTCTCGAGTCGGGTATTTGTCGGCGAACTCTCGCCGCGGAAGTGATTGAAAAGAAGGAAGACGAAACACCAGAGGGAGGTGTGGCGATGAGGGCAGTGGCAGTGGCATCAACCGACCTACCATGAGACGTGGTGCCACAGAGCAGACCTGAAGGCATGACCTTCCAGATGACGTAGGGAAAGTGTGTTTGTGTAACGAGATATTGGAATAGCGGCCCCTCCCATCGCGTCGATTGACTTCAGTCTAGCCCTGCCAGACGCCCGTTGCATGGCCGAGTTCGGGCCGGGATGGGGGCGGCGGTGGCAGCGGGAGGAGAGCAGGGTAGTCGGTGGAGGTGGGCGGACCTGGAGACCCCCTCCCCTCCCCACCCCCAGCCGTGGCTCGGTGCCGCATTTATCCCCCGGGCTGTTCGGGGCGCCGGGTCTGCCTCTCCGGCCGGCCAGGGGGTATTCTGGGCCGGCTATATCCGTCGCACACGGTTGGCTCCACAGTTCCCACACTGCCGAGCGGCGCTCTGATTAGAAGACGAGACCGGCACCGGCCGCGCCGCCTCCCCGAACGCCAACTCTTTTCACCGCCGGCGCAGAAGCCCGTGAACTCGGCTCTTGCGGAAGCCGCCGGCAGCCGTCTACCGCGAACGGCGCAGAGCCCATACAAACCGACCGGCAATCGGGCCGCCCAACTCAAACACTGGTGTCAAACAAATCAGCTCGGCGGAAACGGCCGACCGAGGGGTTTCCTAGGGCATCCCTCTCCCACCCGTCTGCCGTTCGGTCCCCTAAAGGAGACTTTACGACCGGCCCGGCACCGGCACGCG